TAAATGAAATATTGTAGAGTGTGGCCTCTAATGGGTATAAGATGAGTGTTAATTTTTTTAACATCGCTTGGGGGTGAGGTAAAACTGGGAAAGTAATTAAAGGAGGAATACTCCAGCCATACCTAATCCAATCACATTGGATTGAATAATTGGCTAGAACTGCTCTATTAATTGAAAAACAAAGCTTTAAATATATGGCAGATTAGCACATAAAAAGATGCACAACATTATTAGTCATTAGGGGATGCAAGTTAAAACCACACTGAAGTACTACTTCATATCTGTTAGAATATGTGAAATTTAAAAATGAACATACCAAGTGTTGACTAGAATCTGGAGCAACTTGGACTTTCATACACTGATGATGGGAATGTAAACTGGTATAACCACTTTGGAAAACACTTTGGCAGTTTCTTAAGTAAAATGTATACCTACCTTATGACCCAGTCCTCCCATTCCTAGGGATTGAAAACATATGTCTACACAAAGACTTATACACAAATATTCAAGCAGCTTTATTTGTACTAGCCAAAAAACCAGAAACATCCCAAATGACCATCAACAAGTGAAAGGATAAACAACTGTGGTTTATCCATACAATGGAATGTTTCTTAGCAGTAAAAAGGAATTAATTATTTATACACACAACAACATGGGTAAATCTCAAGATAATTACACTGAGTGAAAGAAGACAGACAGACAGACAAGAGCTTGAGTGCATTTATATAAAATTCTAGACAATGTAAACTAATCTCTGGTGACAGCAGATCAGTAGGGCTATAAGGTTAGCTTAGTTGGTTAGAGTGTGTTGTTGATAACCCCAAGGTCAAGAGTTCAGATCCCTGTACTGACCAGCTGCCAAAAAAAATAGAAAAGAAAGCAGATCAGTGGTTGTCTGGGAATGAGGGAGGGATGTGCAGGGGCAGAGGCAGGAATTCCAAAGGGGCTTGGGTGTGGCGAATGCATTCACTGTTCCTTGTGGTCACTGTTTCGTGGGTGTAGCCCTATGTCAAAACTCATCAGATTGTACACTTTAATTGCACAGTTAGTTGTATGTCAATTATAACTCAGTAAAACTGTTAGTTTTTTTTTTAAAGCTGTAAGTACAAGGGAAAATATTAGCTATTATTACCTCTTGGAGATCCTTTTTCAATGTTTGCACCTATTTTTCTAAGGTTGTACATAACATTATATGTCTGTGTTGACTATATTTGTATACACAGATATATTCATTTTGCAGATGTTTATTAAACATCTCCTGTGTGCCAGGCCAGTAGTGATCATTGTTCATGGAAAGTTGGAAATTAACTTTTCTTATCAAAAAAATTGTTTAGGCCCCTTTGAGAGCAGTTGGTAGTGACTCATTTTTCGCTAAAAATTCAGATCTGGGGCCGAGCCCGTGGCGCACTCGGGAAAGTGCGACGCTGGAAGCGCAGCAGCGCTCCCGCCGCGGGTTCGGATCCTATGTAGGGATGGCCGGTGCGCTCACTGGCTGATCGCGGTGCGGCCGGTCTCAAAAAGGACAGACAAACAAACAAAAAAATTCAGATCCCAAAGTTGAAAATTAACAAGAATTCATTAAGGCGCATATTCACATATTTTTATTTTTTCCTTAGATCTTCCTCGAGAATGATATTCACGCACTTTTAAAAGCTGATAAACTATTAGCGTTCAAGTTCCATTTTGCAAGTTTTGTTTGTTTGTTTGTTTGTTTTTCTGACCGGTAAGGGGATTGCAACCCTCGGCACAGTGTGGTCCGCACCACACTCAGCCAGTGAGCGCACCGGCCATCCCTATGTAGGATCTGAACCTGCGGCTCCGCGCTACTAGCGCCGCACTCTCCCAAGTAAGCCACGAGCCATGGGGCCGGTCCTGCAAGTGTTTTGACATTCTAAGTAGGCCTTGAAGAGGTGATTTAAGAGGGCAAAAGATGCCTAAGATTCTGTTGATAACACCAAGGTCCAGGGTTCAATCCCCTGTACCTGGCAGTGAAAAAAGAACAGAAAAAAAAAAAAAGAAAGAAAAAATGCCTAATGTTACATGGATGTTACTTAATTAGTTGTAATAAGTTCTGTTTAAGTTGAATTATTTAACTGAGTAGGTTCTAAGAAATAAAAGGAATTTGATTATTCTATTATTTGATATCCTGCTCTGCTTAGTAATACCTAAAGTCAAAGAAGTATTAACAGCTAATTAATGTCTGCGTTTATAAGGTTTGTAAACATAAACATCTAAGCTTCTTGATTTCATGAAGGCTAAAATTATGCTGTCTTCCCAGGATGATTTTTCGCCCACAAGTAAGCTGCAGCGTCTGCTGGCAGAATCTCGGCAGATGGTGACCGACCTGGAGCTGAGCACTCTGCTGCCCATCACCTGCGAGAACCTCCACAGCAGTGCCAAAGATGTACAGGTGCCATTTTCTTTTGACCACATTCATAACATCTGAATACCCCACTGGTGCGCGAATGTCATTGTAGGGAACCTTTCTGTTATGTCTTTGAGGGAGGGAGGTAGCACTCTTGGTTTAAGGAGAAGGAAAAAGTCACACTCAGATGTCACTGCATCCAAACTTTCTCTTTCAAATTACCTGGGGCATTGAATATAAATTCTTGGGAATTAAAAAAAAAACACTTTATTATAGAAAATTTCAAGTGCACACAAAAATAGAAAGAATAGTACAATCATTCACCTTCAACAACCATCAGCATTCCACCATTTTTGTTTTATCTAACCCCATCCATGCACACTTTCTTCTGAAGCATTTTGGAGCAAATCCCAGACATCGTATCATTTCACTCATAAGTATTTAATTACGTATCTCTAGCAGATACGGACTTTTTAAAAACAACCGTAATAACATTATTACAGCCAGAAAAATTAACAATAAATTCTTAATATCTAATGTGTAAACCATATAAAGTTTTCCCCATTTATCTAAAGAATGTCTTTTTATTCTTTATTCAAATCAACATCCAACCAAGGTCCATACTTTGCATTTTGATTTATCCCTTAAAGTCTCTGTTAATCACGAGCACTTCCTCCCTCCCTCCGTTCTTCCCTCTCTCTTCCTCTCTACCTGTTCCTTCCTTCTTCCTCTTTTTTCCTCTTCCTTCTTCTCTGTTCTTTGTTTTTTAAAGCCACTTATTTGGGTGGCATTAATAAATAAATATTGGGTCATTAAATTAAATATTGGGTCATTTGTCCTGTAGAATTTCCCACATTCTGGATTTTGCCAACTCTCTATCCTTATTGTGTTATTTAACACATTTCTCTATCCCCCATAATTCCTGTAAACTGGCATTTAGATCTAGTGGCTTGATTAGATTAAATTGGGGTTTGGGGGGTTTTTCTTTGCATGACTACTTCATTTGTGATATAGTCTGCTTCCTATTCCACCCTACTAGGAAGGTCCCATCTGGTTGTCCCACTTTCTTTTTTTTTTTTTCCTTTTTGTCTTTTTTTTTTTGACCGGCAACGGATCGCAACCCTCAGTGTCGCGCCCGTACCGGACCGGGACCGGCAACGGGATCGCAACCCTCGGTGTTGCACCCGCACCTCGCTCAGCCAGTGAGCGGCTGGTCTGTATGTGGGATCCGAACCCTCGGCGGGAGCGCCGCCGAGCTCCCAAGCAGCGAACTGTAGCAGTGCGCCACCAGGCCGGCCCTGGTTGTCCCACTTTCAGATGTTAACCTTGATCAGTACATTCAGGAGTTTGTTAGCATGAGCTTTTATGTTATAAAGTTCCCCTACAGTTCACTTAATGATTTTAGCATTCATTGATGATTATTATTTAGATCCTTTGTTTCATTAGGAACTGCAAAATAGTAATTTTCTATATCTGTCATTCTTTCAGGGCGTGTTTCACATTTAATTTTAACTGCTTTTTCTGAGCACAGTAACATTTCAATAGCAATGATATAAGTTGCTTTGTAGATTTTTATAACCTCAACATAAGTAGTGAAAAGAACACTGGACTTGAAATCAGGATACTTGGGTTCCAGTTTCCTAATATGTAAAATAAGAGCTTGGAACTGATGCTTTAAGTTTAGGATTCCTGGTACATTACTTAGATGTGTCGTATGCCTAATTAAAGATATTTGAAAGCCACTGAGTTCAACTTTTTTGCATCTCTGAACAAAAGCCTAAATAAACTAAAAGGTCTGCAAGAACACTGAAATACTTTTCTATTAAAATGAGCTTCTTTGAAGTATAATTTACATACAATAAAATGAGGGAATTTTATTAAGTATGTCTTTAATGCCTATATTAGTACTTTAATGAAGATCTACTATAGATCTTACTAGTTCAGTAAATTTACACAAATCTGTATGCACCCACATAATGAATATCCCAGTCAAGATACAGAACATCTCCATCACTCAGAAAGTTCCCTCACACTCTTCTAAGTGATTCCCTCTTTACTCCCCACCCCAGGCAACTACTGACCTGATTTTTTTTTCTCACTAGAAAATAGTTTTGCCTGTCTAGTACTTCAGATAAATGCAATCATACAGTATCTACTGTTTAGCTTCTTTCAATATAATTATTTTGAGACTCATCTGTGTTATCGTGTGTATCAGTACTTCATTCCTTTTTATTGCTGATTAGTATTCCATTGTATAAATAAAACACAATGTGTTTATTTACCTGGTGATGAGACATGTAGGTTGTTTACAGTTTTGAGCTATTATGAATAAAGCTGCTATCGATATTTTTATACAAGTCTTTTTATGGACATATGTTTTTATTTCTTTAGGGATAATACCTAGAAATAGAATTGCTGTTATAGGATAGGTGAATGTTTTACTTTTAAATAAACTGCCAAATTGTTTTTCAAGGTAGTAATACCATTTTACATTCCCACCAGATATCTATGAGAGTTCTAGGTGCTCCACGTACTTACCGACACTTGGTTTTGTCAGTCTATTTTATTTTAACCATTCTAGTGAATGTGAAATAGTATCATTGTGTGATTTAATTTGCATTTTCCTGATGACTAGTGATATTGTGCATCTTTTGATGTGCTCTCATATTATTGGCTCTTCATATCCAGGTTGAGTATCCCTTATCCAAAATGCTTGAGACCAGAAATGTTTTGGATTTCAGATTTTTTCAGATTTTGAAATACTTGCAGATACTTAACAGGTTGCGCATCCCCAATCTGAAAGTCTGAAATCCAAAATGCTCCTTGTGTGTCATGTAGGCACTCAAAAAGTTTCAAATTTTTGAGCTTTTTGGATTTTTGGATTGGGGATGCTTAATCTGTATCTTTTGTGAAATGTCTATTCAAATCTTTTACCCATTTTAAAATTGAGTTGTTACCTTTGATATTCATATAATCCAGACACAAGTCCTTTTTGCTTTTTTATTTTTATTTTTATTATTATTTTGTTTTTAAAAAGATGACCGGTAAGGGGATCTCAACCCTTGGCTTGGTGTGGTCTGCACCATGCTCAGCCAGTGAGCAAACTGGCCATCCCTATATAGGATCCGAACCTGTGGCCTTGGTGTTATCAGCACCGCACTCTACCGAGTGAGCCATGGGCCGGCCTCTTTTTCCTTTTTTAGATACAGTGTGAGTATTTTCTCTCAGTATACATTTCTTAACAGTGTCTTTTTTTGTGTGTGTGACCGGTAATGGTTCACAACCCTTGGTGTGGTGTTGCCCGCACTGCGCTCAACCAGTGAGTACGCCAGCCATCCCTATATAGGATCCGAACCCGCAGCCTCGGTGCTACCAGCGCCACACTCTCCCGAGTGAGCCACGGGGTCGGCCCAACAGTGTCTTTTGAAGAGCAGAAATTTTAAATTTTGATGAAGTCCAACCTAACAGGGTTTTTTTTAATGATGCCTTTTGTGTCCTAAGAAGCATACTCCAAGGTTCTATTTTCTTTTTTGTGTGTGTGTGACTGGTAAGGGGATCGGAACCCTTGGCTCGGTGTCGCCCGCACCACGCTCAACCAGTGAGCGCACCAGTCATCCCTATATAGGATCTGAACCCGCAGCCTCGGCAGTCCCAGTGCCGCACTCTCCCGAGTGAGCCACGGGGTCGGCCCAGTGAGTATTTTCTCTTAGAAGTTTTATAGGCATGTGCAAGTCTGTGGTTCATTTCAACTTAATTTTCTTGTGTGGTGTGAAATAAGGATCAAGGTTCATTTTTTTTCATATTCATTTGTTGAAAAGACTGTCTTCTTGACATTGAATTACTTTTGGCATCTTTGTTGAATATCAGTTGACCTTACATGCAAGGGTCTATTTCTGGACTGTGGTCATTTCCATTGATCTGTTTGTCTCTCTTTACACCAATACCATACTGTATTGATTACTCTATAGAATAACTCTATAGAAAGTCTTGAAATCAGATAGTGTAAGTTCTCCACCTTTTTTTAAAAAATTGTTTTGACTATTCTAGGTCCCTTGCAGACTCCTGTCAATTTTAGAATCAACTTGTCAATTTTTATAAAAATGCCCTCTAGTATTGTGGTTTCATTGAAACTAAAGATCAGTTTGGGGAGAACTGACATCTGTGAACAGATATATCTCCATTTATTTAGGTCTTTCATTATTTCTCTTAACCATATTTTGTAGTTTTCATTGTAGAGATCTTGCACATCTTTTGTTAAATTTGTTCCTAATATTTTGTTTATTGATGTCATTTTACATGATATTTTAAATTTCATTCTCAAATTGTTTGTCAATAATATAAATAACTACAATTGATTTTTGTAAATTTCAACTTATCTGAATTCACCCATTCTAGTAGATTTTCTGTAGCTTCTTTAGGGTTTTCTACACAATCATGTGACTTGTGAATAAAAACAGTTTTATTTCTTTTTCCAATTCTTATGCCTTTTTTATTTTCTTACCTTATTGCTCTGGCTAGGACCTATAGATCAATGTTGAATAGAAATAGAGTGGACAGGGCCGGCCCGGTGGCGCACTGGATAGTGCGCCGCTTGGGAAGCGCGGCAGCGCTCCCTGTTGAATAGAAATAGAGTGGACAGGGCCGGCCCGGTGGCACACTGGATAGTGCGCCGCTTGGGAAGCGCGGCGGCGCTCCCGTCCGAGGGTTCGGATCCCACATGTGGACCGGTACCTGCTCACTGGCTGAGCGAGGCGCGGGGGCCACACCGAGGGGTGCTATC